GTAAGTGGTATTCGTAACATCAATTAATTATCATATTTCTCTATGACGTACACTATGTTTCGAAAGAAGACACCATAAATACACATAAACATTTCTACAATAATAAAAATCATGGAGTGGACAGTCGTTATGTGTATGCATAGGTGCTATACATTCGATAAATGTCGTCTTAATTGTATCCCTGAACGTATCTGAGATTCTATGTATTGAATCGTCATTTTTTCCGTATATATATGTAACATATATTGAATGCCAAATGAATTTAAATAAAGTAATAAATATTAATAGAGGAGAGAAATGAAATAAAAATGGCTGATAAAGATGAAAAGAAGGAGGAAGATGAACGGTTCGACTACATTTACAATTATCTTACGCTGTCAAGGAAATTGAAGGCTGATAAATGGCTGAAAATGCTATCAAACATAGACTTTAAGGTAATTAACCTGTTTCATATAATTATAACAGATTATAAAAGTTTTTTGCATAGGATAAGAAAATATATATTTTTATATCTCATATTGCATAAGATCTTGCCTTTCATTACAAACGCATGTTAATTACGTTTACTAATCTCGAAAGTTTAAACAACAATAGATGGTTTTAAATTTTGTTCATAAAATATAAAAATGTTATTTATGTATATTTCGAAATTATTTTCTGAATCCATTTATTTTTAATCACGTTGGAACTTCTTGCTTGTATTAAAAACGTAGAATGTACACATATTTATTAAAACGAACTGGTCGTTACATTTTGCACGTGTGTATAGCGATCATTTAAATGATAGCTGGTATTATTTCAATAACAATAATTGTAATACTGGAGATAATACAAATCTTTAACCTTAATCTCTCCTGATCATCCTGTAATTAAGTACAATTTTTAATATGCGTTATCTACCGTGCGTCAATAATGAATACAATATTCAGTTTTTTTTTATGAAGAACAGAGGAATTTTTCATTCATTAAACTGTTTGAACAATTTAATTAATTTCATCAAAATGTGTGTAACGAATTTCACTTAAGTCGAAATTAAATTCTCTTGTCACGTTATTAAAATTTAATTATTAGATATTAAATTTTCTTCGAGAAATTCACGAACGACGATGAAATTCCTTTTATAATAGTCGTGAAAAAAATTATAGTACAAAGCCATAATTACTTGCATAGTTTTTATTCAACTGAAGACCTTATTCTGATTCCTATATAATTCAGAAAAACACATCGGAATATTGTTTATACCTCGTTTTTAAATATATATTTTTTAAATACGTATCAATTATAAAATTTTATATGCGAGAGTAACATATTAACACATTAAAGGCAGGGGATCTTGACGAAAGTATGCTAGGTAACGCGGCGACCGCCCCGCCTCGTTTTTTGTCCTAGAGCGGGCGATATTTTGTGTAATCATAAAAAAATTTAGACTTAAAAAAGTTTATTTAAACTCTTAAAACTAAAAGAACTAAACACTAATTACAAAAAATGTTTTCAAGTACATATTTATGAGAAGTCGAGATAAATCGTAGTACTACGACTCCCGCCTTTAATGTGTTAAAAGAGTTTAGATATTTCATTGATGAAGCAATGTTTGATGACGTTTGGCGAAAAATTCATTATATTCGATTTTTAAGGAGCAACGCGCGAATAACAGGAAAGCTGTGGTTGTTATCTCACCGCGTTAGAATTACAAAAAAATGTCGGTTCAAACGAATCTAGGATTGATCAGGTTCCTTTTACGGCCCCATTTACGTAGGATCTCATTAGCAAGTTTTTTGGTACACCGACGGAGATGATCCTTGTATTGCAAGTCACACCAGCTGGCCTCTTGACACCTTATCTAGAAATAACGCAATCCAAGAGAAAGCTAACGTACTTCTTAAAGAGGAAACCACAGCTAGTTACCGAGGATAATTATAAGGACTTGCTGATTCCGGGTGACATGGCACCGAATCCGATCGAAGAATTGGCAGTTCTTGTGGAGGATGTTAGTGACTTTTGATTCTTTATCCTAAGGCTACATTTAATATATGTATTATGATCCGGGAATACAGTCAGCGTGAAAAGTATTTGTACATCTGATTTTTGACAAATCGCCGATATTTAATACCGTTATAATTTTGTTTTATTTAAATTGTTATAATTTCGCAAGAAAATGTCGCACAACCAAAAAAGTGGACTCATTTCAAAGCTCGAAAGCTCTGCCTTCACAATTCGTTGTGATTTACTCGAAAATTCCACAAATTGAAACACTTCCGGAAACATGGAAAAATTTATTTCAGGAATGAATCGCTCACAAATTTCAAGATTGAAATTTCCCCTTTATAACAATCCCTCGAAACTTGAAGCACGATTTTTTTTAGTCGATGCATGGAATGGAAATTGGGAATAATTACTGCAAATCAGCCAGTACATCTTTCATCCATAGCACAGTAAAGGTATTAAAAAAATATCGTACATCAAAGTTTAAGCGATCATTGTGAAGGGATAGCTTCAATATTCAAATCTATGTTGAGATCAATGGCGAAAAGATTTTGTCAATGTCTTTTTACAGTCGCTTCAATTCGTAACATTTTTGAGAAGAAGCATACCTCCAGTTTTCCATTTGCTATATCGTGCAAGGACATGTTACAGGAAAATGAACAATGCATGGCAAAAGTAGAAGCTTCAAGCTTTAAAATGAGTTTAGTTTTATTGTTGTACAATATATTCTTTCTTGCGGAATTATAACACTTTTAATGTCGACAATTTGTCGAGAATCGAAAATTCAGTGTACGAGTACTTTTTGCACTGACTGTGTCAAGCATTTATGGTAATCTATGGAGACTTTAAAAAATCGAGTTTTTTATTACCGATTTAAGTGTCTTATTCTTTCTAAACATTTCAATAAATTTTATACAAATATTCCCATCATTGCGAATGTTATTAGAATTGATATAATTTTATCATAGACTGCAGGAATCATCACTTCAAATTTGAAAGTTTTTTATACTAACATTACTTTTTTAACAGCGGTTTACTATAACTTTACTATAACATAACTTTTGAACAGATCAATATTTTTACATGAATGTGAAGTGTTAGTTCTGATATTAATATCCAATTATTATAAAATTATTACAGAAACAAGAAACTTGATTATTACAAAAATACGAAACAATATTATTTTCTATGCAATTCTAACAGTTTTTGTTCAAATTCGCACACCGAATTCCACTGTACAGCTCTGTGGTCATATTAAATTACTTACTGAACAGAATTTTGCTTTGGAATAATTGGTTTCTTGTATTGCTTCATAACGTCAACAATTATCAATATTGCGACAATTACATTGTTTTAATTTTGTCTTAATTTTCTTAGTTGTTCAATACTGCTGTACACCTTTAATGAAAACTTTATTATTCCAATCTTACATTCATTAAGCTTCATATCTGTTGACGAAACGTCAATTAACGCGCAGCTTGTATGATTAAAATAAAACTACCGTTAAGTGCGACACAGCTGATTAGCATACAAGGACAATCACATAAAAACATAAAAGGCGATTGTGAGATCAGTTATACTAATTAACGCGACAAGATAACTTTTATTTCACTTTCTATGTAAAAATGTTGAAATGTGAAAACGTTACGACGAGGCTACCAGTTCTGTTTAAAAATATGCATCTAGGGATCTACTTTTTGTTATCTATTTTAATTTCGTTTCCAGATGTTTTCTAAAGATTTTATTCAGTGTGCTCACTTGCAACAATGTTTCTCAGTGTTTACTTTTAATACAATTTTGTTCACTTATTATTTTTGTAGAAGAGCAAAGCGAAAGCGGTATAAGCCATTCCACAATAAGTGAGTACACATTATACGCACGCGTTCTTTGATTTTTATATTTATTTTAAATTGTGCAAGTTCACATAAATTTTGCGAATACATTTTGGTGTTCGATTTTTCAATGTTATTTAACTTTGTGAATTACGAACACATTGCCAAGTATAATAACAGTCGTAGATTCCTGTTGCACGGGTAAAATACGTGTAATTTGAATGTTGAAACGAGATCCTTCAGATCGTTAGCCTTTAACGCAATTTTTATTTTTATTTCGTAGATATATATTTTTACCAAATTAATTTTGAATATAGAAAAAATTAAAAATGTAATTTTCAATAGAAAAAGTTCAAGTCGAATGGGGAAAAGTGTTTGAACTTAGAAAATAATTTTAAATTAGAATGTTGAAAAGTATCACATGTTTTGAAAGAATTCATTTAAAAATGTTTCCATTCGAAGCTCTTCTTTTATTAATAACGGTACAGTAAAGATTGAAACGAAATGAAACTTTTATACGCATATAGAAAAAATTAAACATAAATATTAAATCAACTTTAAGATGCGCATGTTTCACACGCTCTACGTAGCAGAAGTACACTCTCATTCACACATTTACCCACAGAGAGGTCCTGGATATCTTACGATATTGAATTTTATTGGATTGTTACTCGGTCCACGAAACGAGTACTCCGAACAATTTCTTTCCACAATTTATCTTTACTGTCGGAAATATCTGTACTGACGCTTAGCTTGTAAACAAAAACGGACAATTTGGAAGAAGAAGATACGATTATTTGACCCACCTCGTTTTTATAATCGTTAATATAATAAATATATAAATAAATATATGAATAATTCGGATCAAGGATCCGAAAAACGAATTGCTCCATCACTCTCAGTTTTCGAAAAAAACGAGCTTTTGTAAAAACCCAAAATTTTCGGCAAACATGAGGTATTGCATGAAAAGTAAAAACGTTAAGTTTTAATCAGTGTTAAAAAAGTTCTAATCAGTGTTAAAAGATAGGGGAGAGTTTCCGGAATATAGTGGCATGCAATTTATTAATTGTTTTCGGTCCTAAATAGCAATAAATTAATGTCAAAGTTTAAAAAATTGTCGACGTGTACAGTTTCTGCACAATATTTTTGTACTTTTACGAAAAGTTGTTTGTCCTGCACAAAAACTCTACTCAGGATCGGATTCTGTAAACATTTCTGAAGAGGAAACGGCCTGGTAAAAGTGTCGGAACGATATACATTTCGAGTAGATCGAGAAAATGTTCGACGGCAACATGTACACGACGTTTTGCCGCCATATCCTTCGCTGCTCGCTTCTCTCTGTCCGACAGGGCCGAAGCTATGCGTAATCAACACCGATGGTAGGATCCAATGGGGCACCCACTTTTCGTAAATAATATTTGAATTTTTTTTAGTACTTCAATGTTCTGTTTTTTTTATATATTTCTGTGTGGCTAATAATCACCAAACTGTGATATATTTCACACAAAAAATCACACCAGAGTATTTGCAGTGGGTAACGAAAATATATTCTAATACTACTATAATTTTGACTTCTACGCCATATAATTAAATAAATATTTAAATATATATTTAACAATATGTTTCAAGAAGTTTAACGTTTTGAAAATTATTATTTATTCATGATCGTATTATCGCTATAATTTAAATGATAACTGTATACATGATATACTTGTAATTCGAACAAATCCAGAATAAAATGAATATATTTGTTTATTATTTTTCTTTTATTATTTCTCCATTTGAAAATTAATAATCTTACTTCTATATTCCTAAAACCATGTTTTTCGTACTTTTTAATTTATGATTCACAGTTTGGTGATTATTATCCACAGAAATATGTAAAAGAAAACAGCACATTCAAGCATTAAAAAAAAAGTCAAATATTATTTACGAAAAGAGGGTGCCCCATTTGATCCCTTCGGCCCTGTCGGACAGAGAGAAGTGAGTAGCGAAGGACATGGCGGGAAAACGTCGCGTACATGTTGCCGACGAATATTTTCTCGATCTACTCGAAATGCACATCGTTCCAACACTTTTACCAGGCCGTTTCCTCTTCAGAAATGTTTACAGGATCCGATCCTGGGTAGAGTTTTTGTGCAGGACAAACAACTTTTCGTAAGAGTACAATAGTATTGCGCAGAAACTACGCACGTCGACACTTTTTTAAACTTTGACATTAATTTATTGCTATTTAGGACCGAAAACAATTAATAAATTGCATGCCACTATATTCCGAAAACTCTCCCCTATCTTTTAACACTGATTAGAACTTTCTAACGTTTTTACTTTTCATGCAATACCTCATTTGTGTCGAAACTTTTGGGTTTTTACAAAAGCTCGTTTTCTTCGAAAACTGAGTGTGATGGAGCAATTCGGTCTTCGGATCCTTGATCGGGGCGTGAAGCTCTACAAGAATTTCATAGTCGCTATAGGAAATCAGAAAAAAGGTTTGATTTTGTCGGACAGTGTAATCGGCAGAATAATCGTTTCTCCTCTCTATACATTTTATTTATTATTATGTAATAGCTGAGGCCCAATACCTATCCAATGACCTTTATAGGTGACCTTCGCATGAACTTGAATACAAAAAATGTACACACGTATAATCCCAAAATCGCAAAAAATATGACTTTGAGCAAAATTTTTTGTTTATCGTAACTATACTGTGGATCTTTAAACACAAATTCGCACTTCCATACATCATCTTACGAAAATTCGAATTAGAGGAAAGTTTCCTTCGTCAACTAAAGGATTGCTCGTTGTGAAAGAAAAATAAAAATACTATTGGACTATTTTAATTTGTACGTCTTCTTGCATTTAAAAAATCTGCACACGCCGTAAATTCTTAAATATCCGCAGTGTAACCATAAAATTTGCCTCTTCAAATAACAAAATTTTTTACTTTGACGTTTTTCACAGATTATCGAAAACTAGTAGAATATTCAAGGAGGACAAGTTATTTTTTGTTCATTCAGTACAGGCATGGTGGCCTTTTTCTGTAATGACTCTTTCGAAAACTGACTTTGTCAGTACGTTTTGCCAAGCCTGTTCTCGAAAGAGTCATTATGGATAAAGGCCACTATGGAAAGGCACACGAGGAAACCAGGCCTAAGAGATTTGCGCAGCTAGT